AACTTTTTTTTCTTTAAAAGATATAGATTTAAAGAATTTATAATTTGATTTTTAGCTTAATATCTTACATATTTAGCCCTGTACAACTTTTTAAAAAGTGTCCGTAATAATATGGTAGGATACTGTATATACATTCTAATTTTACTAATTTTACAAATTGTCATCATGGGATCTCAACGCTTACGCTTTAGATTCCATATTTGCCCAAGGCGCAATGATCACAGGTTTATGCAAGCACGTATGAGCGTAAACGCTCTGTCATGAAATAAGCTACCAAGAATGCATAATAATGCCTAATACTACTAGTGACGACTTAAAGAATTAAACAAATACGGAAGTGATGAGACATGGGAAAAATTAATCGTTACAATAGATGCTAATAGCTTATTTGCTATTTATAATTCCTGTAATTGGCTTTTTAAAACCTAAATATACGTACAAGTCAATAAACATCCTCAGTAATAAATATAAATAAAAAGCCTCATTCGACGGGGTAAATATCTAATTATAGAGATAATTTTATTGATAGCTTCATCTAGACCAAAATTTCACTAGTAATTTTCTAGCGAGAGAAGTAGGGATTCACTATTATCATAAAGTTTCATCAATTCAGTTTTTTTTTTTTTTTTTTTTTTTTTTTTTTTTTTAGCGGGAGCACCAAAGGGATATTTTTTTAGCACTAAGATTTCGTCATTTTGAATTTGGGTTTCGTCTTTCGTCAGCAGAATTTAAGGTTTCGCCTTTCGTCAGAGGTTTCGTCATTTTGGGGCTTAGGTTTCGTCTTTCGTCACCAAGCAAAAAAAGTTTCGTCTAACAACTATATATCAGACCCACCCTCATTTTTTACTAATTATTTTCTTTTTTTTACTAATTAATTATTTTGGTGGAACGTAAGAGACCTGGGTCTTTTCTCGAAATGTAGCGAAGGTTCTACGTTTTAGCACGTTTATAGAATATTAGACGGATAACATTGATAGGGAATTTGCGAGATATAAACTCAAAAAATGAACAGCTGATCAACAAAATTGGTGTAGTTTCAAAAACAGTGAACTCAGTGATATCTTCGTGATCATAACATCACATGACCGGCCTAATAGGGTTAGTGTTAAGGTTAGGCGATATTATAATTTAGGTGAATTTGTTAGTGCTATTAACAAATAAAATTGACCCCTCCAAAGATTTTGAAAGATTTTTAAAAACACTAGCGAAAGTTTCTCGCTAACTATCTGATAAAATTCAGACAATTTTTTTATTTTAATTCTTTGCTATTATAGAATATAAAAATTAAAAAATCATTCGAATTTCTTGGAATAAAGCCAAATTTTCTTTTTTTTCAACTTACTAAGATTTCTCGATAAGCAACGATCCAAATTCAATGAAATTTTTAATTTTATGAGTTCATATAATTAAAATAAAAAATTTTTATTGAATTTAGATAATTTAGTTGTCGAGAAATCTTAATTAAAAGGTAAAAAAAAAAAAAAAAGTTGGCCGCAGTTTTTAGGTTCTTACGAATATTACTAGACATTTAACTGACAAAATTCGATCAAAACCTTTTTATATTGATTCTATAATAGCACAGAATTAAAATAAAAAAATTCTATCATTATTAAAATGTAAAAAAAATTGGCCACAGCTTTCTTTTTAAAGATATTTAAGACTTTGGACGATTATTACTTGACACCAAATTCGGTCAAAATTTTTTATTTTAATTCTAACCGTTATAAAATTAAAATAAAAAAATTTCGATCGAATTTGGTCAGATAAGTGTCGAGTAATATTTATTCAAAGTTTAAGTATCTATGTAACGAATGCTGCGGCCAATTTTTTTTATTACCTTTTTAATGAAGATTTCTTGACAATTAATTATCCAAATTACATAGAATTAAAAATAAATAAATTTGGATAGTTGCTGTCGAGAAATCTTCGTTTAAAATTGAAAAAAAGAAAATTTACCTAAATTTGCTTTTTTAAATATAGATTTCTCGACATATATCTATCCAAATTCGATGAAAATTTTTTTATTTTCATTATATAATAGCACAGAATTAAATTAAAAAGAATTTTATCTTAGTTATCAAATCTTTCAAATTTTTAGATGGATTAATTTTCTTTTTTGAGATTGTCTCGTAGAAATAAGTGCTCGCAGCTCGCGCGTTACACCGCAGTCTGGTGTAACAGAACATTACGTTTTGGGGATGGCGCCAGGTACGTATGTACATCGATTTTTAATTAATATTACTGTATTAGGGTTAGGGTTAGATTAAAAGTAGAGGGAGTGGCTTATATATATAGTAAAATCGCATTTCCAACATTTTTACTTAGCGAACCTTTAAATAGGCATTTTTATATTTTTCGTGTTTTTGTCTTTGTCGCCTTGTTCGGACTGATCCAGGTTACATATCGGATAATCTCATGGTGTACTGGCTTTAGTTGACCCCCGCTTCGGATAAAACATTTTATAACTAACTTTATATAAATTATATGGCATACACGCGAATTTTGTATGCTTCGAGGCTTTATCAAATTCCGGTTTCCTAGCTTATATAATATAAAATAAAATGCAAGAGCCACATAGGATATGTATTGTTTTAAAATTATTATTTGTCACGCAGGGTACTAAATGCAGCACACCCCGAACGTATGTAACGTTACTATAATGATGACATCCAATCGTATTTGGAACTCATGACGCTATTTATTCCAATCTTATTTAAGCAATACCATTAACGCTTAATCACTTTTATAATAATAAGCCAAACCTTTAATTATGGATAGTAGAAAACGGAAAGGTACTGAACTTCAAATACCTTTGGAAACAACTAAATCACTGAAACATGCACTAGTTGACGTATCTAAATTTCAATTTGGCGAAAATATTCATTCAAAAACAAAAAGAACTCGTGCTTCCATCATATGTGATGGGTGTAAGGGATCAAAAAAAAAGTGTGAAGGCTGGGATCAAAATACACCCTGTAGAACATGTGTTCGAAAGGGAATAGAGTGTATACTCCCACCTCATTGTACATCATGTCGTAGGAAGAAACTTGATAGCACTGGCATATGCCCAGAATGTAAAAGTAAAGAAAGTCATTCAGAAAATATTCACGCCCGTGATTATGCAGCATACCAACAAATTCAAGCATTGGAAGAGAGAGTCAGAATGTTAGAAGTTAATCTTGAAAAAAGTCAAATATTAGAAGCTAATCTTGAAAAATTTAAAACTTTAGAAACTACTATCAATAAACTGGCTGCTCAACAATTTGATAAACCACCAAAAGGTAAATTCAGACTTATGATTGTTGCTTTAAAGTTTACATCGCTTATAATTCTTTGTGTATGTAAATAGATAATAATAACGTTAATATTCTTGACGGCGAGCCCGATTTATCAAAGTACTTCACTTTCGAAGTCTAAAAAAGTTCAAATTTAAGAAAATTAAAACCTTACGTTTCTCTTTTTCTCTTTCATAATTGCAAGTGACATAAGCTTATTTGAAATTAACGGTAAAAAAAAAATATATCAAAATATTATAACAATTAAACATATTGTTGAATAATAATAATAAACAAAATCTTATCTGAAGTCAAGCTTTATTGAGTACTCTAGTTGGAAATGTAAAGAATGACTTTCGGTACTGTCCTTGTACCAGAGTTGGCGTCGAAACGAAATCTACCTGAAACTAGTTTCGAAGGGTTCTAATCCGAAATTAGTTTCGGATTTTTTCAAAAAAATCGAACCTCCGAAATCCGAAACCCCGAAACTATAATCCAAAACCCAAAACTATAATTCGAAGCCCAAAACTATAATTCGAAACTCAAAAATATTATATGGAATTTATTAGAAAGGTTATTAATTTTAATGAAAAAGAACCTAAGATATAAAGTTATTTTTTGAATAAATTAGGCCATATAAAATTAATTTTTTGGTTCTCATAACATAAAATTTTAAAAATGACCCGGGAACCCGACTTTTAATTTTATTTTCAAAAAATTTTATATGTAAAAAACATATAAAATTTTTTTCAAAATTTTGTTAATTTGACCCGGCCGGGTTATGAGAACCAATTAATTAAGTTTGTGTGGCCTTATAAGATAATTATAATTATATTTTTGGTAATTTTGTTTTCTCTGCCTCGCTTCGTTCGGCCTCTTTTTTAAAGCTGGGCAACTTTATTTTTAATATCATACCGTCATTACGACTGATTTCAAAATTCTAGGACAATAGAAAAATTGTCAATGAACGAATCGATAAGTTTTTGATGCCTGTTGATGCCGACAATTTATTTAATTCTGTGGTAGCTTATCAATTCGATCATTAGTAGATATGGACGTACTATTACTTATTATTATTACTTGTCGTGAAATCGGATGATCGTGAAATCCGGGGCCTTAATTTAAAAATATAACCCCTACTAAAACCCACATATACTCTTTTATTATAAACTCTAACCCTAATTCCTAGTCCAAATCTAAAAAAAAAAGTCTAAAAAAATATACCCTAAAAATTTTTAAAAATCGTAAATTAAATAGGGTTTGATTTCACGATCATACGATTTCACTGACATTAGCATTCAATTTTTACATAGTCAATAAAATGCTGATGCTTGTAAGCAACCTTGATTGTCAGGATATAACCTCCGGAATTATGTTTCTCATGTTGTACTTGTGAATTATAATAACGAAAAGAACTGCACGCATGCAATATACTTGTTGGACGCATTCCAGTCCAAAAGCACTGGATATTCAAACTTGATTGAATATATATTGCATACATCAGTGTGATTGAAGTATATTGAAGAGATGTATAGCATACATCAGTGCATTTGATGTAATTGATAAAGATCAATGCAATCAATGTATATGGAAGTTTGGGTGGTTATTGGTTTTCAGGTGAGGTTTCGGGAGGTTTCGGGTTTCAGGTGAGGTTTCGAGTTTCGGATAAGGTTTTGCAAGCTATAATCCGAAACCCGAAACTTTCAGATTTGGCAAAAAGGGTTTCGACGCCAACTCTGCCTTGTACATAAAATAACTCTAATAATACTAACACTCGCTCAGACTTTAACCACATCAAAATTTAAACATTGCAGGATACTTTCTTTTTATCCAGTAAGATGTGATAGCAAAAGCACGTGGCGAAGGTAGGGTTACTGGTGTAAATGGTGCACCACTGCTGCACCATTATCATATAAATTTAAAGCACTGCACCAGTGGCGACACCACCTGCACCAACAACCCTAGGCGAAGCCCGCATGCGTTGTTATTATCATACCAATGTCCATGATCCGGATAACTAGCTTATCTGACAGGTATGATGTATACATTTACGAAAAGGATTTCATATTATTTCCACAAGTTTTCATATTACAGTAAAATAAGTCCAAATTTGGCATATGATTTTACTGTGGTAATAATGTGAAATTTTTTCCGTCAGTGTTTACATAGTACGTATTTCCATTTTCATCTGTCTATTACTGACGTACTACGTACACATTAAAATTCAATCACAAATAATCCATTGATACTTATATTGGAGTCTAGATCATAGGATTTCATACTAGATTCGTTAAACAAAATATCTTTAAGGACAGCATGAGTTAAAGATGCCTGACAAATGATGAAATCTTTCATCATACAATTTATAATCAGCAAATGATACTTTCATTCATTTCTTTATGTAAATAAATTAGTCATGTGAAATCATTTATTTATTGTTTGCATTTTTTTGACATGTCCGACATTACTCGATGAGGCTTTAACCACTCGAAAATATCCAAAGAATTTTCGGCAGAAAGAATTACCAGGTTTAGATTCTGAGTAATGTAAAACTAAGAATTAATCAGTAGACTTTTTATAATGAGCTGATGATTTGACAGAGTTCATCATAAAGAAACTCATTGAAAGAGGTTAATTATAATTTAATATTTACTTTTTGAGAGTTCTGTTAATCAACATCAACAAGAGTTTCGTCTATACATGTGTGCTTAATTTATTTTTCGCATGCCGTAAATAAAAATATTTCAACCTATATGGCAACCTAAACAAATTGTTTTTATCACACAAATATATGTGAATAATGTTTTTATGAGGAGTAATAAATCTCTACAAATTGCAAAAAATGATCTTGTGAATTTCAAGATGATAGCAGAACTTATTAAAGATTTTAATTGATAACGAAGAATCAAAAATCGCTTTATTGCAAGTATATAAAGTTATTTGACAGTTTCATAAGCTTCAAAAATATAAACAATATAAATCTATGACGTAACCAGTCATCAAGTTTTGTCGGCATCTCTAGTATGATGTAAAAAATTTACATTCATATTTGATTTTAGAAAAAATTATTTCCGTACAAACAATTCATCCAATTTTCATTTAGAAAAGTATTACTAATGACGTTTTCCGGTATGCTAACGTTTTCCGATATGTTAATGCATGAATCAGAATAGTTGCAAAACGATAAATTTTGATCTTTATATCCTATAAAGTGCTGATGAGTATTTTCATATTCCGAAAAAATTGTCGATACACCAGCCGCGCTGATATTGTTATTAGGAAAATCGGTAAGCGATGGTAACATTAACGGAGTAATATCGAATTGCAAACCAGAATATAATTCTGGTTCTTGAAAAGAGGTAACATTCATATTGACATGTAAATCATTATCATGTTTAGAAGACTCTGAGGTTGTCTCAGTCCTCTGCTGGCTTCTAGACTTCGGACCTCGCTTTTTTTTTTCACTGAATATACATTCAGCGTCTCGAATAACGCAATTATCACATGGGCACTTGCCAGTGCATTTTTTTTTTGCCATTTTACATCGTTCACACGCAGAGGTTGCGTAATTTCTAATTTTCCTGGGTTGAGCAGTAAACATTTATATTGAAGGTTAATGAATTAGAGATTTTATGAAAAAGAAAAATATTTAGGAATCATAAATTTTTATAATTATCAGAACGTTGTTTATTATTCTCTTGTCGCCTTTTTACCACTTTTTTACCGCCTTTTTACCGCCCTTTTACCGCACCTTTATCCCATTTTACCGCATTTTTACCGCTTGTCCGACCATTATAAAGCATGTATATGCATGTGATTCGTTTGAAAATAGATCAATTACCGATCCACTAATACATTTTTGTTGGCGTTTTAGTGTTTGTTGTACGTACGTACAGCACCCTCCGAATATTTGTCATTGTTACACGAATAACATAATAAAAATTGACTACAATTCATTTCACGCAACTCTAAATCGGGTCCGGGAAATGATTGCCGTGCCCAGATTTATGTTAAATATTTGTTCATATGTGTAACAGTAAAAGCGGTGACTGTTCCGGAATCATGAAATATGGGTAATACGGATATAAACTTACACTACTACTTAAACAACACAATAAACTACTATCTAACCTAAACCCTAATAGTGGAAGGTTACGAAAGAAGCGTGGAAAGACTTGGCCCGAGTAATTAGGATGTTAGATTAGAACTCTATAATACGTCACGAGTAGGGTGCGGGACGGGCCGGGACAGGTCGGGTTTAAGTAAACTCGACCCGGCCCGATAAAAAATTTTCTGTTAGGTTGGGTTCAAAACCCGACCCGACCCGAACATTCTTATATATGTATATATGTATAATATTTGAATGGTGTCCAATAAGACATCGTATGTTTACGTGTCTTTGAAATTAGAATATAGATGATGTTAACTATGTGTTAGTGAATCATCGGAATAGTAAATTTTGTGACAGAAATTTTTTATAGAACTCACGATAGGAATCGTAATAGTTCTAATGCTAACCAACTAAACCTTAACCATAAATTGTGGTCATCAAAATAATGATAAGTTTTGTAACAGAATTTTACATTACAGCTAATTTCAAAATTCGTGGACCACCCCAAAAATTTATCCCGAATTATTGTCGGGTAGCGTGTAACCACGAGTTCTAGATTGTGTATTATATTGATATCAATGTCAAATAGAGCACTCTAGAAAAATCATTATTTGGAACTTGCTTATGTATTGTATTTATTTTTTGTATTTATTATACGTATTTTAATAAACATACTACATCGATATCAATACATAATCTAGAACTCGTGATTACCCGCTACCCTCGGGATAAATTTTTAGGGTGGTCCATGAATTTTGAAATACACGATAGAAATCATGATAATTTCAATAAAAACTAACTTATCTTAAACACATTATATGTCAAGTTTCGTAATTGAATTTTTTACAGTAATTTACACAATAAAGCTCTATAACAGAATTCTTTATTGGGGTGTGCGGTCAACTATGTAAATCAAAACTATGTATAGATGTATATCAAATTTTATATGTAAATTTTTTTTT